TTTTAAAACCTTTCTAATCTCGTAGATTTATTCAGCACTGAACTCCTCACAGATGTTAACACAGGTCTTCCCCTCGCCTGGTCATATACTCGTTTCACAATCCCTCAGATCTTCCCCCTCTGTGGCTGTTTCTCAGTCATCTTCACAGCTAAAGTCCCGTAATGAGTCCAGCATTTTCGAATGTACAGCTGGTTGATTACGTTCTCCCTCCCACTGCTTCGAGCGCCACCGACACCTGCTGCTCGCTCAGAACTGTTTGTGCTTAATTTACAGACCCAGGGCTGTGGAGGGGAACAGGATTTTTTTTTTTTTTTCTGAGCACACAACAAACACAGAGCTGGCGACGCACGAGGAAATATTTGCTTAATTTAACAACAAGTGCAAAGTATCCCTTTAAGCAATCCTTTTGTATGGACAGACTCTGGATAGGTGCACAGTCCCAATAAAACTGATACTAGATTATATAATATTATCAGGTATAGAATGAAAGTCACAGAATAAAGAGAACAAAACACAGAATCATTTGAAAATATGTTAATAAAAAGTTGAGCTCACTGCACCAATCATTATAATGTTCTTGTGTTTATGCACAGAGAAGTGACATACCGATAAGCGCCGGCCTCCAGTCCTCTTCCTCGCCATCAGAGTTGATCAACCCGCTGACGTCTCCCTCCTCCTTTTCTTCGCCGTTGTCCTCCTCCGACAGCAAGCGGTCCTGTGGCGTTCTGGACTCGGTGGAGGTAGAAAGGTCTTCTGAGTCCTGGAGACATCGTTAAACAAATCAATCTCACCTCGAGGTCCATCTGGGTCTACAGCGTCAGCACTTTTAACCGGTAGTTGCTGACATGTAAAGCAACTGTAAGTCGCTTTTGATAAACGCGTCAGCTAATAGAGTAAACGTAAATTTAGCAGCTGTTCTGGAGCTTTCGATCACGTCACATGATGTCGTGGAAAAAGCTTCGACTTTTTCTAAGCACCTAAAAGCACAAACGCTGAATATAATACCTGCTTGTTCAGACCTTCCTCCTCCTCCATCGTCATCCCTCCCTCCCCTTTTTCCTCCTCCGTCGTCATCCCTACTTCCTCTTCCTCCTCCATCGTCGTCGTCGTCATCTCTTCCTCCTCCTCCTCCGTCTTCATGTTGAGCCAGAACTCCTGAAACAGGCGACATCACATCATCAGTTTCCACTCAAAACGTCAAAATTGTTCTTTTATATTTTCACTTTCCTGCACTACATGAAGGAGAAGTGACCCAAAGACTCCCTCCGTCTGACTGACCTCACGCAAGTTTTGTCTTTTAACTTCCTGTCTACACAGGAAGTGGACATGTGTGGATCACCTTGACCTGCATTTGTTCAGTTTAATAACCTGACGAAGATCTGAGGCACTGACAGAGCTGATTAGATCAGACCAGCTGCTCATTTAACTGATATAATCATCATGGTGACCGGTCAGTGTGTGTTTGTTATTACAACAATATGATATCAGAACGCAGAAAGTTTTGTGGTTGGATCTTTAAAACATGTGTTAATACAATATTCCTTCATGTTCTTCAGTGTTAATAACCTACCTGATGAGTTAGCATCAGAGCTAGTGGTGGAACGGATAAGTTTATATTTTTGAAAGGATCCGATCTTGTACCCAAAACCACGGAACGATCTGAACCTCGAGTTTTGTGATCTGTTGCACCCTTAATCAGAGCTCTTAAATGTTCACTATAGAAAAAGCTGAAACTAGTTGAGCTAGTTAGGGATGCAGGGTAATGTTGGCATGTCGGTGGCAATCGGCCCAAAATGAACATTTCTGCCTATAATACGACACAAAGGACATGGAGCAAATAAAAAAACAAGAGCTGGCTGCTCAAAATCAATAACAACAATGAGGAGTTTCATCCTACAGTGTTTCCCACAAATAGACTTCACTTATGCAGGCCGCCCAGGTATATTAACAGCTGCACAATGCGCCCTTGCGCGATAGTCACATCGCAGAACAATCCAAAGTCCAGCAAGTCAAACGAACTCAACCCCCTGAACTTAAGTGCTGCTCGATACAAAAGGAAAACCTGCACGCATTTTCCATGAATAATCTACAAGAGAAGTCTGTCAGCAGCATCATTTACTCCGCCTGAAGGGTTCTTGGATTCACAGAGCTTGTTGCTAGTGAGTGACAAGCAGACTCTGCACGCAGAGCGATCCACCAATCACTTTAGGGCTCAAACGATTCATTCGATTACTAAAAAGCGTGGACGCTAATTCTTTGCAAGCAAAAGTAGTAAAATCATCGTTAGCTGCAGCCCTAAATTACAATATTACTAACTAATCACAATAACACTAACGCAGGCCCCGCCCCCATTAGTTGTTGACGTCAACTTAAAAATAGGTGATTACCAGGAGAAAACCATTGAAACAGTGGATTTCGTTGCAGAGAGAACTTTTGTAAACCACCCAGAGGGCTGGTGTTTAGCTGCTCTTTTTTAATCTTTGAATATATGTTTACTGCATCAAAGAAAGGATAGTTTGCACTCAAAAGTATTCAGGCTATAAAAACATGTTGGTTTTTTCCAATATCGTGCAGCCCTACCGCCCAGGTACAGTAACAGCCGCCCAGGTATATTTGGCGACCCACTTTAAAAGAGGAGAGTTATATATGAGGCTACAGGAAGTGGACACAGGCTACGTTATTATCGAGCCTGCTGCAGTAAAGACAGAAAAGTCCAGAAGACGGGTTCTGTGTCTTTTCGGGGACTCTCGGGGAAGAGGCGGGGCCAGCAGGTGTGTTTGCAGGTGCGTGGTGAGCGAGATTCAAGTAGTGAGTGAACAGTAAAATAAAGTGGAGAACGAAGGAGAATTAAAATAGTGAGATAGAAATATGCTCCCCTTGCCTTATTTTGTAAAATCTGTCCTGACTTCTTATGAAATAGAAAAGAATGTGTGATTTCATGTGCACAGTGATGAAAAAAGTGCACAGTAAAGCCGTGGTCTCACTATGTCAGCAGAGTCGGCGATGAGTCCGTCCCTGACGTGGATCCTCATGTGTTTGCGTAGCAGGCAGGGCCTCAGGAAGCTCCTGGGGCAGATTCTGCAGGGGTGAGGTTTGTTGGTCATGTGGGTCTTCTCGTGGGCTCTCAGGTTGGTCGTGGTGGTGAAAGCCTTCTCGCACAACGAGCAGCGGTGCAGCTTCTCCTTGGCGTGGATCTTGAAGTGCTGTCTGAGCCTGGACAGCTTCGGGTAGCTCTTCCCACAGACGGAGCAGCTGTGGAGCTTCGTCACGCCGCTGGGACCCCCGTCTACAAACACCAACACAGGAATAAGGTTCAGCATCAGCAGGACTCAGGCAGGAAATGCTGTTTCATGTTATTGACCCACTTCCTGGAGTCAGTAGAAGAGGTCTTTCCGGGATGTGTGGCGAGCATAAACCAAAAATTTTTAACACATTTGGATGGAAAAAGTGAATCTAAATTCTTTGTTTGCAGATTATCTTCAGTTTGTCAGGTTTTAAAATGTTCTCTGGCAAAGAAGAGTTAGCCTACGTTCACTCTGCAG